TTGAGGTGAGGATTCTTTTCATTGTGAAAATGTTCAACCTCAGATTCTGCCTCCTCCACCCTTCCTTGAATGGAAACTGCATTTCTAGTTTATGTAAAGGCTGTACGCAGTTTCCTCTTCCCCTTCCCTCTTGGGTTCTGGAAGAAAGTGAGACATGCGCTCACGAACTAAAGAAAAACGAGCAGGGGGTCTCTGCTGCTGTGATTTCTCTGTTTCAAGTTTCAGTGGGTGGGGCTCAATAACCGCCGTTGCGGCAGTTCCCTTTTGCCCAAACCCTAGCATTCTGTCGTCTGTACCTGTGAGTAATCCTAGGCAAAATTACTGCTGTGGTGTGCAACACTCTGCCCTTTCAGTTTCCCATTTTTAGAATACATCTTCAACTTTAGCCCTGGTGCTATCTATAGGACACCAGACGTTCTCATCTCCGTTCAGTCCTTCCCCGATTTTTGAATAGTGGCTCTCAAATGCAGACCTATAGGCAGTGTGCTTACCTGACTGTAACCTCACAGTGTTAGGGTTGCTCTTTTATACAAAAAGCAGCGCTTAAACTACCCGTTCTGATAAGAAATGGTGGTCATTGTCATTATTATTAGTTGATTTCTTTCTTAAAAAAAAAAAAAGCTTTTGCAATCTTATGTGGATTCCCCCAAACCTTTTAAAATTGATTTATGAAATAATAATTAAAAAAAAGGTTTGAATTGCCTCATTCACCATCTGGTTTCCTCTGGGCAGGGGAAACTTTCTATGCTTTCTCAATTCTTTGGTCTAGGTCATAGATTCTTAGAACAGAGTCACATAACTGATGGAGGATGGGTACAGAAACTCTGACAACATCGAAAAGTCTCTGAACACACAGCAAGCAGAACTTATCTCAAAATCAAATGTGTAACAGGTCCAAGGTGTTTCTGGTAGCACATCATGGGTGTCATGTCATGGGAAGTCATTACAGCCTTGGTTCTGAACATACAGCCTGCAATCCTTACCCAGTGGCTACCACATCAGTCAGAACCAACCAAGATAGTCTCAAACCCTTCACCTCAGCTTCCAGAATACTGTATGTGGTGAACTGAAGTGTTTTTAGCCATACACAACACAATCTTCTGTTAATACAGAAATATAATGATTTAATTACCAGAATCAAAGATTTTTACTATTTTTAATATTTTCCTACCATCATTCCTCAGTATGGACGTATCAGTGTAATGTTGGATACATTGTCAAAATGCTTGATTTTATTTTTTAAAAAATGCTGAATTGCATTGTATACAAAAATTATGAAGGAATGTATTGCTTGGATTAGGACAGAATTTCCAATAACTTCTGAAATGAACCTATAAGATACCTCTGCTATTCTTAACAAAGTATTTACAGAGCAGCATTCTTGGGACTGATGATTATGAAATCGAATATCAGTCAACTTGAAAAACCACTGGAGAGGCTTTGTATCCAGCAGCATTAAATATTCGGCCAAGATTTAAGTTTTCATATAAAAGTAAGCATGCCATCTGATTAGTAGGCAAGTTTGTTCTTATCTTTAGTAAGTGGTGAGATTATTTGTATACTCAACAAAGATTTTTAAATTATTAAATTAGCAGTTGATGCTTAGTTTGTATGCCTGTTGTATATACTTAGGTATACCTCGAATCAAGTAAAAAAAAAATTATCAAAAAAAAATAATTCTCAAAAAAAAAAAACCCTCTCAAGAAGGCCCAATCCAGATTAGAATAGTACAGTTATAGCAATCGTAACTTCTGGTGTACAGCACTGAGTGGTGATTTTATCTTCCTGTACCAAGGACTGATTCCAGGGCCTCAAGCTAGCTAGCCAAGGGCTCTATCACTAAATTCTATCCTCAGCTTTGAGAGGTAATGTTTAATAGACTACTCTTTTAAATAAAATTGAAATCCTTCTTTGAGTAAGCCAGGGTCTTTTGGTCAAGTATCTTAGGACCACTGACCAAGAGTCTAACTCCAGCTTCTATGTCTATTAACTCTCTAGTCATAAAAATAAATAACTCATTCATATGTGGTTGCTACTGCTCTCCCCAAGACCCTGTGTTCAGCATGTGGACTGGAAAGACCCTGCTGGTCCCCCTTACAGAGAAGATATTTAAATGACTTGGCCAGAGGCCTTACCACAGGCCATGATTCTACCTCCTCCCTCTGGCCACTGCTGCTGGTCTTCATTCTGTGAAAGCTTCTATGAGACCAATCTCAGAGCCTGGAGCCAGAAGAGGAAGGGTGGAGGGGAAGCCAGCTTCTGGTGCCATATACCTAAGACTCTAACTCAGGGGAAGATGAAATGACGTGGCTTTAAAACAGGCTGTTTGGCAGCCTAGGCAAACATCGGTGCGGAGAATTTAAGGGAAATGAAAAGGGAGCTGACGGTCATTCTCAGACTTTGCTTGTATGTTGGAATCACCTGGAAAGTTTGGGGGAAGGGGTGGGGAACACCTCGTTGCCCAGTTTCACCCAGACTGACTAAACTGGAATCTTAGAAAGTGGAAGAAGATGTTGGAATTTTGGAGGTTTCCCTGGGCTGTGACATTTGATGATGTGTGCAGAGCTTCTTGGACTTCACGGCACATCTGATCACTTGTGGATGTGTTTGTTACAACTTCAGTTCTGCTTCTGTAGACAGAGTGAGAGCCACTGCCTCCTAGAGTCAGGGAGGGGGGAAAACAGTGGGTGCTGTGTGGTCAGCAAAGAAGGGAGAATTTTGGTGGGCTTCACAGAGTGCCGGAGATCTGATGCAGAAGAACATTCTAGACTAGGTGGTATGGTCAGAGTTCAGAGGGGTGGGGGCTTGCAAGGAGGGGTTCACAGGACAATGGTTACTCAGGCATAAATAAAGTGATCTGGTCTACCTGATTTAGCACTTGGCAGTGAAGTGCCTATTGTTTGGGGTACAGATGTGTTCTTTCCTCCTCAAGGTCCTGGTGTTCAGGGGTGGGTGTTTCAGTTCTGTTTGTGATACATGGTGCTAAGCACTGGGCAGAGCTTCAGAACATGGCTGTGCTTTGTTTCTGCTGACCCCCTGCCTGGTGTATGCTGGGGTGTGCTAAGCCTATCACCTCCTGGAGGGGCTCCGACTATTTAAATAAGATCTCAAGGGGCTTACCCACCACAATTAAGTAACAGCATGCTCTTTTCTTTCTCTTCCTCTCCTCCTCCCACACACTTCTCCCTGCTGCACTCTTCCCTCCCGAGCTCGTCATCATCAGCTCTATGTTGTATCTTGGGTATATTCACCACAGCCTCTTACTCAATGCCCGCCTCCTCCATTAAATGCAGCTCCATTTCATGGGTGAAGAAGAATTTTGCTGGTGGTGTTCAATATATATATAGTTCAATATATATATAGTTGATGTCAACACCAACAGAAGAATCCAAGACAATCCATTTTGCAACTGTTCCACTGAAGAAGAGGAAATTAAGACAGGATTTGGTCATTAGGGAGGAACACTTGAAATAGCAAGTGCATAAAAATAAATTTCCCTCTCTGTGGGGTGGAGATTTGCTTTTAAATGTTCTGTGTTAGAAGCCCAGTGCATAATCAAAGACCGAGCGTTGCTACTTAAAATTACTCCAGGAAAGTCTCATACACCTCATCAGTGATTAGTACTAAAATGATTTAAAATATAATGATGTCTCAAATGAGGAGAAAAAGGTAAGGGCCACCAAATACAGCAGGTCATACTCAAAGGACCTTAGGAGAAAGACAATGGAAAAGGAAGGGGACGTTTCTCATGGGAAGTCAACTGATGGCCTGTGGGTGCTGAGGTTGGAAGTCCCTTGACTCTCTAGTTACTCACACATCTTCCATTCCTGCCTCTGTTTGGGCATCTCCAGCTCACTCCCTCACAAAGCTGACTGCTCCTCATGAACAGCTCCAAATGCTGGCAAGACTTTCCCTCTGTAGAACAGGTAGCAGTACCCTTAGATGGGTCCAGGGCTGTTCAACCTACCCCACTGGGGAATCTCATTCTCAGGACAGCATTTCAAACTCTGAAGATCCTCCTTTCCTCTCTGCCAGCCCTCATTAGCCATACATGAAGCTGGGACATCCAGGCTCTTCTTGAAGCCAACTAACCCTAGTTCCTAGGGTTTTTCAGCATAGGAAAGGTCTCCACTTTGTTTGGGTGTTTGCTTTTTATTCTGCACTGGTTTTCGGTCAAAGCAAGATGACCCTTTAACATTTCTGACTCCTCTGCAATGCCAGGTCATCTATACCACTCTTTAATTGTGTCACCCAGAAAAGCAGCCTGAACAGTATAGGATGGTCCAGGGTACTCCACTCCCTCGGTTTAGACCCTGTATTTCTGGTATGCAGCCTGCTATGGATCAATATCCTTGTCAGCCACATCTCGTTCTGTATATTGTGTTCTCCTTAACTGCTATCACCTTTCAGAGTTGTTTATACCCTCAGAGATGACAAGGTGATGACAAAAATTGAATGCCCAGTTTGTGACAGTTAAAGGTACACAAGGACAGTTTCAACTTGAATGCATAATGAATTACAAGCTTTGGAAACAGACAGACCAGAGCATCATCATATACTTAGGAAGGGGTCTAAAGTATCCTTCAGACAAGCAAGTGTGAGCCTAGAGTGCACAGTCCTAGAAGAATCCCTGAAACATTGGGGCCCTGTCACTCTGTTGTCACTTAGATCATGGTGTCAGTTTCCAAGCTTGTCTTTCTGTCTCCCTCTACTCCACTGAGCTACATGTCAACCCAGCCTCTGCATCACGTCACCACAGGTTGCCTACGTATGGCTGCATGACCAGAACCACACACAGTTGTCATACAACGGCAACAGTGTTAGAGGCGAGATGGAAAGCTTGGGATGCTGTCTGCAGTGGATCCACACCTGGCCCAGTCTCTTACCATCCCTTTCCTGTCTTTGGTGGGCCCAGAAGCCAGCTGTCCGTGGCCTCCCTCCACAGAGACTCCAGAGACAAAGACCTCTCACAGGCCTTCCACCCCCATGCAGCCGTGTCCATGGCTACCATCGGGGAACTTGGGAACAGGCCTTGGCTCTCAGACAGAGGATGCCCTGCGTGCCCGCGCACAGAACTGGAGCTCATTCCTCGGTGCCATGAAAGGACAGACTGTTCTGGGACTGAACATGAGCGGATGGAGAGGCGTCCATGCACAGCGCCCTCACTGGAACACCGTCCAAGCGTCATTGTACGAGGCCTCCCTAGTGCTGAAGAACGGGGTAAATGAAGACCCTGTCTGGGTAAACAGGCAGACACTGACCAGTTACAGAGGAGAGGAGAATGGGGCTGTGTCTGCCGGACGGCTTTTCCGACATCGTCTGTGACTCAATGAACCAGTTGCTTCATATAATCAGCTGGGGCAGTCGATACTTCAATTATCCGATTATTCCAACTGATCTCATGGCTCCAGCCAGTGATGTGATGAGGGAAATGAGCAAGCAATGCTCAAAGGGAACGGGTTCACTCAGGGAAAATGAGAAGATAGGTTCCTTTGTTTCCCCTTGTGCGACTTCTTATCGTTCGAGGGTCCAGAGATCCCAGAGAGGTGAAAGATTATATAACCATTTCCACCATTTTGTGAGCCGCTAAGCCAGCTAGCTTCGTGAGAAGGACCAAGGCTATTGCCTGATCCACTGTGAGCACATTTTTCAGCACTGTGTTGCAGTGGCTGAAAAATGGGGTGCATTGAGGTACCACGTGTCTTCTTCTGAGAGATGGACCAGTATTTCCAGCCATCAGTCTTCTTGGCTGTCTTTAGGGTTGTTTCATCATTGTTTAGTACAGATATTTATTTTCTATGATCACATAGTAAACTCTAGTCAGAATCAGGGATTCTAAAAGCGTAATTGTCTGATAATGCTAAGTCACCGCCCTCTCTTGGATCCCTGGCTTCTCTATCTGTAAAAAGATAAAGATGGAGACAATCTCGGAGTACCATGCTTGTACAAAATATCTATGCTCTGGAAGAAGGGTTTTGGCTTCTGAATGTCTTTATCTTTCACACACTTAGAAGTTGTACCTCAGTGTGTGTGCTGTGTGCACGTCATGTGTAACAGATCTGTGGCCTGTGTCTCAATGTGTCTGTTGAGTGTGTGTCTTTGAAAGCATTAAAAGTAATCTCAGCTGTCAAACTCTCTCCCAGCTGGGGCCCTGAAAGCTGCCATCCTTATCAATGGCTCCTTCACATCCACCCCGCTGAGCATTCCTCGGGAGGTGGCATGGGGGTGGGAGGAGTGGAGTTGTTTATAATTTTTCAGATTAAAATGTCATTGGGTGCAACTCTGAAACTGCTGACATGTTTCAAACGGCCACTTCTAATAGTCTGCTCCTAACCAAACAAGCTAGACCACGGGGTCCTGGAGCCGCCCCAGGGTCCCTGTGCTGAATAATGGGACACTGTGTCTGTCCTCGGTCACATTTCTGCAGGACTCCATGCTTGACATGAGATAGCCGACGTAATCTTCACTGTTGTGTTTGTAGGAAAAAGGCAGTCAAAATGAGCCCTCTACTGTTTCCTTCTGTAGTAAATCCCTCCGTCCATGAACGGTGTGCTCTGAACTTCAGAAAGACGAGAGAGAAGACGAAAAGTGGAAAGAGTTAAGCAAGTGATACCAACTGCTTAAAGGTTTTACATTTTAAAAAAACACTTTACTTTTTAAAATATTCTAATTTTTAGACAAAAGAGTAAATGAGTAGAACTCTGACTCCATGCTGAGCTGAGGTAGAAGTTTGGGAGGGTGGGCAACTCCCAGGAACTCAAATATTAATTCTATACTAATGACAATTATCTGAGGTTTCTGAATCCACCTACAATGTTCAAGGATATTCACCTCGAACAAGCATTTGGAAAAACTTGATATTTATAGACCATGATATAACAGGAGACAATTTTCACAGGATTGTAGAAACCAGAGTCCTAGTAAGGGCTAATTGTCTAATGACACCTCATAGGGTAGCTGACTCTGGGAAATTTTTTGGAGTCAGGGGGCCAACAGCTTTGTTCAGTCACATGTAGAGACAGGATCCTGTCTCCTCAGTGTAGCCTATGCCCTTGTAGGAGTGCCACATGACTGAGCCAAACAGCAGCTTCCCTAACTCTGCCTTTAAGTTCTGGTTTGATCTAGGGAGTCACAGAGACTATAGGTTCACCTAGTTCTATTTGAAATTCTCAAATAGTCTAAAACAGCACTTTGAATTCAGAATTCTCTTTTCCAGGTAAAATTTCCCAGTGCCCTTAACCCTTCTCTACACAAGACAGTCTTTGCATTGGTGATTCTCAACCTGTGGGTTGTGACCTCTTTGGAGTTGAACAGCCCTTTCACAGGGGTACCTATCAGATGTCCTGCATATCATATAATTATAATATCATAACAATATACATAATATATATAATCACAACAATAGTGAAATTAGAGTTATGAATAGGAATGAAAATAGTTTTATGGTTGGGGTCACCACAATGTAAGGTACTATATTAAAGGGTCAGAGCATTAGGAAGGTTGAGAACCACATCTCTAAACAATCTGATCTCCCATTGATTTTCCATTAATATAAAAGCTTCTTAAAGCAGTGGAAGGGACTGTGCAGGCATTTCACACACGCACACGCACACGCACATGTTTCAGACCCTGTGTTTCTATTAATGTGGAATGACTGTGTTAGCTGTTTTAGCTGTTTCAGCTCAGGTGCTCACACTGAGTAGCAGATAATTGTCCTAGCCTTGGTCTCTGAGTTCCTGGCAATGCTAGAAAAGAAGTCAAATCCCTTTTATTACGTTTATGAGAACCTTTATTTAATCCTGTCTCTTCTGTATCGTAGAAAGCAGGCAGACGTTGCTTCCTTTAACCTAATAGGTGGACACAGATGTTTCCATTCTCCACTTGAGGACACGGGATGAGTGGCACTTGCCTAAGGTTTTACAGAATCAGCCAGGGCCAACTTGGACAAGAGCCAGGCTCAGTAGATTGCAGGGCTCAGGGTGATTCTGTGTAAAACTACCATGCCCTGATCAAAGGCACTGTTTGATCAACATATTGGAAATTCATGACCCAAAACAACATACCCTGGTGTTCTGGTTCAAATGATATTTTCCTTTCTTCTCAAAAGGAGGCTCTGAATTTCCACAAATATTAATGTCCTGTTGATCGGGGAGAGGGTGCACTAGGTAAAATGTTTGCTGTTCTTGCATGAGGACCTGAGTTCAGATCTCCAGCAACCCACATACAAGCTGGGTACAGTGCCTTGAATCTGTAATGCAGTTCTGGGGAAATAGAGAAGGTGGAGCCCCTGTGGTCTTTATGGACAGCCAGTCTAGCCAAATTGCCTAGCTCGGGTTTAGTGAGAAACTCTATTTCAAAAAATAAGTTAGAGGGACTGGAGAGACGTTTCAGCAGTTCAGAGCACTTGTTGCTCTTACAGAGGGCCAGGTTCAATTCCCAGCATCCACATGATGGCCCATAACTATCTGTTCCAGTTCCAGGGGATCCAATACTTTCTTCTGGCCTCCATAGGCACCATGCAGGCATGTGATGCACATACTCATACAGATGAAATACAGAACACTCATACACATAAAGCAGAAATAAAAAATACTTTTTTAAAAGGTAAAGCAATCCAGGAAGACACCCAGTGTTGACCTCTGACCTCCACGTGCTTATGCATAGTCGATGCACCTACACATGTGTGTACAAACTGCATGCAACTACTCACCCCACACAAAATATTAATATTATATTCTAGAGCAATAGCTCCAAGTGTTTATCCCACACTTTGGGATTTGTCTCTTCTGTTTTGTAATTCCAGACGAAGACAGAATTAGCAACTCCCATGAACACGCTACCCACAATTTAAAGAGATAATTTCACGGTATTTTGAGTCATCCTCATTCAGAAATACTAGAACCTGTGTGTCATATTTAGCTGGACTACATTCTTTTTTAGAAACATAATATCACTTTTTTCTGGACTTTTGTCTTACAAAGAGTGATAACTTTACAAAGTACCTATCCTGTGGGGCGCACTGGGTGGCAGCCCCAGTCTTTGGGATGCTTGCATCTGTTTCTGAGCTCTCTCCCTGTGTTCAGGACAGTGAACATCTGGCTCAGCAGATGAGGAAATGGCTATAAAGGAGTGACATGGGTTGAGTAAGGATTCAGTCAGGAAGATGCACAAGCTGACGGGACCTTGCTCTGCCTGCCATCCCCTATTCTTGCCCTCCCACACCATGCCTCTTTAGTGTTGACCATGGAGCTTCACTTGTGAGAAGTGAGTCATTATTTAGTGAGAATTTTGATACTTGGATAAAACTGAAACCGTCCTCCCATGCTGTTTATGGAACTCAGCACCAACAGGGATGGAAGGAAGCCATGCTGTGGAAGGGTTAAAGGACCGCTTGGTGCTTGCCCCCATTAGCCCTGACAGAGTCACTGCTCAACGCTGGCACATGGGCACAGCAGCAGAGAGGGTGTACCCGGATATGTGCTAGACAATGCCTCGGTCCTTTTAAACATGAGGAAGGATGGAGCCAGGCCCCAGAGGAGTGACTGAAGCCCCAGTCTAACAAAACCCATTGCCCTTCCGGCACCTTGCTGGTCCCCCTTACTAGTGTCCCTGACACCTTGTCTCCTGGCTTCCCTTCACCTCCTGTTTGGCTTGCTGTCTTGGCCCCCTCTCCAGCCCCCACCCTGCCCTTGTGGCCTGGCCCCTTGACAAAGTTCTGCCTAACCAGAAAATGTGTGACTGCTGGTTCCTTTGGCTGGGCTCCCTAGATCCTGGCAAGCTCTATCCTGGCTTCAGACTCTCAACAGGAACCTAGGCATTGCTTCTGGAAACATCCAAACAGTAGCTCTCAGCCCACTGACGATACTCCTAACAAAGGCTAGATTTTCCTATGATTAAGAGCGCTGTCCTCGGGACTGCGCTGTCCCTTTGAAGTCACATCTCTTGGGACCCGCCAGCCACCCATCTCTAGATAGGGTGACCATATAACTTGCCACCATATTGGGGAACACTCAGAATGGAAAGGAGGGCACTGCAGACAAACAAGGACTGGCCACTAGGGGAGTGGTCCAGGTTCTACTTACAAGTTTTCAAGTCAGCCAGGTTGATTGCCTGTTCTAAACAACAGCAGTATTCCACATTCACTCCAAGCCAATCCTAGACCATGTCCAATGCTTCTTACTACAGGCAGGCATCATTTATGTAACTCTTACAGGAATCTC